CGCATGCTTAATTCCCCATATATCCACAAGTTGGCATTGGAATATCATTTTTTTCAAGGATCTCATAGACCTACTTTCCTCTCTCTGCACAGGAGATGTCATATCTAATTGAGGGTCCATACAGAGACTGAAATCTGCAATGATTAAACTACCTTTTTTGAAATCCATTAATTTTTTCAGAGTATTTTTTAGGAATATCTCCGTTTCTTATTCGGGCAATAAATATTTGCTAATGTACAATTTATTTATTGTAGTTTTCCCTTCAGAAACAATCTCCCTTCGGGATCCACCTGTCTGTCTTCCAACTTGAACCCTATATTTTTTTTGCGAAACCTATTGCCACTCCCTTGGCTCTTCTGATTGGGGAATCTACATAGAACCATAATGGATAATATCTAGAATCTAACTTCACATTTGTTTCTCGCTCCAGATGTCTCCTGTAAAAAAACCACTGAAGACAATCTATGCTGTATCTCTTTGAATATCCTGAATCTCTTCCCAGGGCTGTTTAATCCCTTAACATTATAAGTCACGAAGTGTACCTCTTCTATTCTTCCCTTATTCTCCTATCCTATCCTCCCTTTCCTCTCTTCTCCTTCTGTCTATATCTTCCTCTTCGTTCTCTAAGACTTCTCCAAACTAATATATCTCCTACTATATCGCAGAGTCTTACACCCTCCCATCCCTCCACCCCTTCTCCCTTCCACTCCTCTCCCTCCCCTCCCTCCACCCCCCCATCTCCCTTCAAGCTTACATTTTTCCTATGAATCATTTGTGGTCCTAACCCCACCTTTGATTCAGCTTTTAAGGTGAAGCTCTGACCATGAACTTTTCCCCAATAAGCGTGTCTCCTTCTTGTCCTGCCATACTGTAGTAAACTTCAAAGATCATAAGAGAGAGGCAGAAATGGAGGGAGAAAGAGAGAAAAAAAAAAAAAAGAGAGCCCCCCCCCCTCCCTCCCATCTTATTCCTCTTTACTATTCCTACTCTCTATTTCTCCTTAAAGCTACCTGCCTCCCCTCATTTTCCATAGCCCACATTACTCCTTCTTCTTCCTCCCAACCAGGGATATTTATTTTCTGTATATCAAGTCTCTCACAAAAGTCTCTCAGATCTTCGGGGAATCTCCGTCTTGCTGAACGTCCATTTTCCCATCAGATCAAACACACTGGAAACCCCCAGCTATATCAAACATTCTGTTTTCTCATCTGTTCCAATAACGGTTTCGGAGTTTTCCTTATTAACCGCTTGCCGCCCTGCCACTGTGTATATACGTGTGCAGGGCGGCAGTGGAGCGCAAAAGCACGTTTTAAAACGTGCTCCGCGCTCCCGACACATTTTCGGGTAGGGGGCGCGCGCGCTCCCGCCGACCCGCGGGTGATACGATTCGATCCAGGAGGGATCAATCATTAGATTTCAGCCAGTGATTTCTGGCTGAAATCACATGATCGGTCCCTGTCCTATCCTGTCCTGTGTTGACATTTACACAGGGCAGGATATGATGTCATTCTTCTCTGCCTGGACACATTCCGTTCCAGACATAGAAGACATCCAAACAGTGATTTTTTTTTTTTTTTTTATTATAGCGCAAAAAATAAAAAGCGCACAGGTGATCAAATACCACCAAAAGAAAGCTCTATTTGTGTGAAAAAAAGGACGTAAATTTCGTTTGGGTGCAGCATTGCATGACCGCGCAATTATCATTTGAATTAGTGCAGCGCTGTATAGCAAAAAAGGCATAAATTACAGTATCTATACCAGCAATGGGCAAACTACGGCCCGCGGGCGGTATACGGCCCGGCGGACCGTATACGGCCCGGCGGACCTTTTAATCCGGCCCGCGGAGCTAGGCTCCTCTCACAGTCCGCCCTGAAGACCGGTGCAGCATGAAAATCTATGAGGATCTGTCCCCCTCGACGTATCTGCGCATGTGCCGGAGATCGCCGATCGGCTGCTAATGCCTGAAACTGGCACATGCGCAGATACGTCGAGGGGGACAGATCCTCATAGGAGACAGATTTTCATGCTACACCTGAACGGCGCGGGAAGACGGCGAGAGGAACGCGCGGAGCAAAGGTAAGTGAATTGACACAGGGGGGACTTGGGGACTTAATATGGGGGATGAATTAATATGGGGAATGAATTACTATATGGGGGATGAATTACTATATGGGGGATGAATTACTATGGGGGATGAATTAATATGGGGAATGAATTACTATATGGGGGATGAATTACTATATGGGGGATGAATTACTATATGGGGGATGAATTACTATATGGGGGATGAATTACTATATGGGGGATGAATTACTATGGGGGATGAATTACTATAGGGGGGTGAATTACTATATGGGGGATGAATTACTATATGGGGGATGAATTACTATGGGGGGGTGAATTACTATGGGGGATGAATTACTATGGGGGATGAATTACTATATGGGGATGAATTACTATTGGGGGTGAATTACTATATGGGGGATGAATTACTATGGGGGATGAATTACTATATGGGGGATGAATTACTATATGGGGGATGAATTACTATATGGGGGAGAATTACTATGTGGGGGATGAATTACTATGGGGGATGAATTACTATATGGGATGAATTACTATATGGGGGATGAATTACTATGCTTACTATGGGGGAATATTACTATACTTACTATGGATGACACATACACATCATTCATCTACTCTTGGTCCGGCCCCCGGGTCCAATATATGAACCCATTGCGGCCCTCAAGTCAAAAAGTTTGCCCACCCCTGATCTATACCATAGTTTGTAGACGCTATAACTTTCACACAAAGCAATCAATATACACTTATTGGGATTTTTTTTACCAAAAACATGTAGCAGAATACATTTTGGCTTAAATTTATGACTAACTTTGAGTTTACGATATATTTTTTATACCTGAAAGTAGAAAATATTGTTTTTTTTTTTTCAAAATTTTTGTGGTTTTTTTGTTTATAGCGCAAAAAATAAAAAGCGCACAGGTGATAAAATACCACCAAAAGAAAGCTCTATTTGTGTGAAAAAAAGGACGTAAATTTCGTTTGGGTACAGCATTGCATGACCGCGCAATTATCATTTGAGTTAGTGCAGCGCTGTATAGCAAAAAAGGCATAAATTACAGTATCTATACCATAGTTTGTAGATGCTATAACTTTCACACAAAGCAATCAATTTACACTTATTGGGATTTTATTTACCAAAAACATGTAGCAGAATACATTTTGGCTTAAATTTATGACTAACTTTGAGTTTACGATATATATTTTTTATAGCTGAAAGTAGAAAATATTGTTTTTTTTTCAAAATTTTTGTGGTTTTTTTGTTTATAGCGCAAAAAATAAAAAGCGCACAGGTGATAAAATACCACCAAAAGAAAGCTCTATTTGTGTGAAAGAAAGGACGTAAATTTTGTTTGGGTACAGCATTGCATGACCGCGCAATTATCATTTGAATTAGTGCAGTGCCAAACAGCAAAAAAAGGCCTGGTCATTAAGGGGGGTAAATCCTCTGGGGCTCAAGTGGTTAATGTTGCCGCTGCTAAATCAGCAAAGATCTGTTTATTTATTTCTCCATATTTTATTATTGCTCTTCCTTTTATCTTCTTCCAAAGCTCTTCTTTATCCCAAAAATTATGGAATTGCACTAATACATCTCTTGGCTTTTCCTTTCTATCTTCTTGTATGTATTTTCCTATTCTATATACTCCCTCCATTTTGAGAGGCTCTGTTATAGTTTCTATCCATTAAAGTATTTAGCATTCTCATTATTATTCCCGCCAAATCTTCTCCTTGGGAGATCTCTGGAAAGTTTTGTATCCTTAGATTGCATCCCCTATCCCTATTCTCCTGGTCTTCCAATTTATATAGCAGATTTCTTTGTTCTTTTCTCCTTTCCATCGCCCGTTTTTCTAATTTCTGTATATTTTGGGCATGTTTATCTAGTTTTTTTCTTCCGTCTCCTCCACCCTTGATAATATTTGCCCCAGGTCTTTGTGTAATTTCCCCAATTCCTGTTTCAGGGATCTTTCAAGTCCTGTAAACATTTCTCCTATTTCTGCTTTAGTAGGCATCTGTGAGCTCTCCTCTTGTTCGTTTACTTTATCCATATCCACTTCTTCCATTTGTTGACTACTGTTAGCTATTCCCAGGGATAGTCTGGAACATTCCCCGCCGTTTTCCCTCTCACCTCTTACACTTATTCCCTGCTGTCTCTCTGGAGTCTGTTTCTCCTGTGAGGGTATATATTTTTTAATTGATCCTGTTTGTGGGAAGCCTTAGGCTCTCCTCCCTTTGATACTTTGTTTTTCATGCTGTCAGGGACCATTTCACCATGGGTATCCCCATCTCAGTTCTTTTCTTCCTTTTTCTCTCCCCCCCCCCGCTCTCGAACTCATCTACCGGGTTCACTTCTTCTAGGTCTTTAGTCTTTATCTATTTTACATTGTCCTCCTTCTGATTTTCCACTAAGACCCTCTGGGTAAACCCCTCTTCAGTTTGAACATACATTTCAATACATACAGTTCAGTTCCCCTGCAATTTATTAATCTCAGTACTTTTACTGCTCTCACTCACCCTCTTGTCCCCAATATGGCTTTTTCCCCCGTATGAGATCTCTGTCCTATATGAAGAAAAGGGCTTCTCTGAAAAACGTTTCCCGCACTCTGTGCAGATATACAACTTCTCCTCCGTGTAAGATCTCAGATGTGTGTGAAGACTGGGCTTCAATGAAAAGTATTTCCCACACTCAGGACAGACATATGGCTTTTGACCTGTGTGAGATCTTTGATATATGTAAAGTCTAGACTTATCTGAGAAAACATTTCCCATACCTAGAACAGGGATATAGCATCTTCCTCATGTGAGGTCTCTAATATATATGCAGGCTGGATTTCTGTGAAAAACATTTCCCGCACTCTGAACAAAGGTATGGCTGCTCCTTCTTATATTATCACTGAGATATATATAAAAAATAGTACTTACATGGAAAACATTTCCCGCACTCGAAACAGGAAAACTTCTCCCCCATGTGAGATCTCTGGTTTCTGTAGAGATTGGACTTCTCTGAGAGACATTCCTTCCCTTAGGACATCTCTTCCTTTACTCCAAGTGAGGGGTGAGGTGGCTCCAAGTACTCTCTTCTGGGGAACATTGCACTTGACATTCCCCTCACACAATGAGTAGATTGCAGGGGGGGTTCACCCAGCCCGTTTCCGCGTATCTCCAGCTGCCACGGTCCTGTGTGCAGGAGGAAGAGAGCTGGCGTCTCTCTTGCTCCAAGAAACGCCAGCTGGCTCCTCTGCCTCCCAGAGCTCCCTTGCGGCAGATCACCTGATCGCCCGGCGTCCACTGAGCTCCAGGGAACACACAGCGCCGAGAGCACAGGAAGACTCGCCACAATGGCCGCCACTCCCGGAGGTCCTCAGTTCACGCACCCCACCAGGCAAGCCTAATCTCTCCAGGGCTTCCCGCGCATCTCTCCCCTTCTCGGCAGGACACTGGAGGTTCTTGGGAGCCGGGAGCCCTCACATCAAGCTCCCCCTCCAAGACATGGTCAGGCTCCTCCCCCGGGTGTGGTGCTGTCTTATTGGATGTTTTATAGCAAAAAGTCAAATATTTTTTTTTTTTCCAAAATTGTTGGTCTTTTTTTATTTATAGCGCAAAAAAAACCCCGCAGAGTTGATTAACAAAAATGGTAATTTATTTAATTTATGCACAGTGTTGCATGACCGTGCAATTGTCAGATAAAGTAACGCAGCGCCGTATCGCAAAAAAAGGGCCTGGTCAGGAAGGGGGGGGGGGAATCCTCGAGGGCAAGTCCTTAAAGGATACGTCTGCCTTTTGTAACATACATTCAGGGTATAACATGTTACTGTTGCAGCAGGCTCCAAACCATCCGAATCCCCTGTTGTGACAGTGGGCCGGGATCCTCTCCCCGCACCCATCACAATTTTTTTTAAAAACGCAACCCTGTGGGGTATTCATTCGGAGTTCTGTGAATGGGAAAACTCTGTGAATGGGAAAACTCTGTGAATGGGAAAACTATAAGTATTGACAGCCTTTGCGGCTGATGGCTTGTAGCTCTCAATGAACTACCAAGGCGCTGTTGAGCATTCTAGGTAGTTCCTGATGCTTCCTGTAATTGTGTAACTGCCTGCCTGTATGAGGTATGAGCAGACAGATATACTGACAGTCTGTAGATTGCAGGTACAATGGTTTGCAGACTCCTAGTAAAAAAAAAAAAAAGTAAAAGCACATTTTTTTTTTTAACCTGCAAAAAGCTGTGCATTTATTATTTAGATTTTTTTTTACAAAGATAACCTAATCCTTTAATAGCCACAAATATACTATATAAACCAACACTGTGTGTGGCAAATGTGTTTTGTAAATTATTATTATAGTTCTTACCTTGTAAACGGGCGGACTGACCATTCGGGCACACGGGCACTGCCCGAGGGCCCGGGGTCAGTAGGGGGCCCCATGAAATGCCCCTGGTACCTTTCCTAGGCTTTTTGGGTGTGGTTTGAGTGTGGGCGAGGACACAGGGGCCCCATGATCCTCTATTGCCCAGGGGCCCCATAAGTTTTGAGTCCGCTCCTGCTTGTAAAGTAGTGTTGATATCATCACTGTGCTGTACATAGCATGTGCTGAACAGTGGGAAAGACACAGCAGCTCAACCAACTACAGCCTGTCATTAGAAACTACAGGAGGTGGGCGGAGACAAGACCAATCACGCTGCACCAAGTAGAGACAGTAGCAGTAACCAGTCTTTATTAGAGGAGGTAAAATTCCACATTGGATTACTGCACAGATCTGGAAGAAATACGCAACCTTTTGTGTGCAGCATCTCCCCCAGCCCCCCCTAATACTCACCTAAGCCCCCTCTCAATCCAGTAATGTGCACTAGAGTCTCGGCAATCCCGGGACTCCCTCTTCTCACTGGCTGAGACAAGTGGGAGCCATTGCCTCTGCTGTCAATCACAGCCAATGAGAAGAGAGAGGAGGCAGGGCTGAACCATGGCTCCGTGTGAGAATGGACACAGAGCAGCAGGTGCCCCTATGGCAAGCTGCTTGCTGTGGGGGCACCCCACAGTAGGGAGAGGCCAGGAGAGCCTGCGGGGGACCCGAGAAGAGGAGGATCCAGGCTGCTCTATGCAAAACCACTGCACACAGCAGGTAAGTATAGACATGTTTGTTATTTTTTTTTTTTGAACTGCTTGCCGACCAGTTGCTGTATAAAAGCAACCACAGGGTGGCACCGCTGCGCAAAATCACATTTTAAAACGTAATTTTGCAAAACAGGTAGGGGGCACGCGCAAGGCGTGTGACCACCCTACCCGTGCCGCCGAACGCAGCCGCGGGTGTCAATCACCGGGTCCCGCCGATTGCCGTCAAACAGTGACACAGAGCACAGCTGCATTGTTTAAAATACAGCTCTGCTCCCTGTCAGTTTCCAGCACACTGTTCCTGAGAGTGGAGTTTAGCTGGGATTAGTGTGTTCCTGTGAAGAACACACCCCCCGCCCACTAGTAAAACACTCCCCTCACACAGTTAACCCTTTGATTGCCTAAAAAAGTTAACCCCTTCCTACCTAGTGCCATTAGTACAGTGTCAGTGGGTTTTTTTTTGCACTGATCATTATATTGGTGTCACTGGGGATGTCAGTGACCCCAAGTCAGTTCCCCCCCAGTGTCAAAATATTCGCCGCAGTCCCGCCATAAGTCGCTGATCACTGTCATAAATCGCGGATCACCGTCATAAGTCGCTGATCGCGGCCATTATTAGTATAAAACAAAATTCCAGTATCTTTCCCGCCATTTGTAGACACTATAACTTTCACGTAAACCAATTAATTATCATGTATTGGGATTTTTTTTAGCAAAGACATGTCGCAGAATATATTTTGGCCGAAATTTATGATGAAATTTGATTTAAATTTTTTTACTGGACTTGTCTTATAGCAAAAAGTCCAAAATATTGTTTTTTTTTTCTCAAAATTGTCCGCCTTTTTTTTATAGTGCAAAAAATAAAAAACGCACAGGCGATCAAATACCACCGAAAGAAAGCTCAATTTGTGGGAAAAAAAGGACGTAAATTTAATTTGGGTGTGGTGTTGCATGACTGCGTATTTGTCAGTTAAAGTAACGCAGCGATGTAACACAAACCGCTTCTGTATCTGCTTCCTTACCGCCCTATAGTAGAAATACTGCTACAGGGCGGCACGGGTGCGCAAAATCACATATAATATATTGTGGCTGTGCGGTATCCTGCCATGGTGGATCCATGGTGACCCAGGATTCTCAACCATACAGGTTGAGAGGCTCCAGGCAGTTCTCATAATGCAGAGGAAACTGGTTTATCAGTTTCCTCTTTGGTTTGTAAAGCCTGTTTTGGGACCTGTTTTGTGGAGGCCAGGCCGTGATTCTGGGCTCCACCTCGGCAGACAGGAGTCAGGAGGGCTCCACTCCGGCAGACAGGAGGTCTCTGCCTTGGAGTCAGGTGGGCTTCACCAAGGAGAGGTGGAAGCCAAACTAGCTGTGTGCTAGAGGTTCGCTGTGTGCCAAAACAACCTTTTGGAAGGAGTCTGTAGGAGACAGACATAAAGCGGTATACCTGAGAGAGCCAGAAGGCTGAAATTTGTTGCATTTGTGTGATGGTGGATACCCCTGCGTGGGAATCATTTTGGTTATTGAACTTTCTTTCAAATAAAATTGGGCAAAAAGGCCCTTAAAAAGAAGCGAGTTGCTGTGTGCTTTAAAAAAGCTCTACCATCTGAAGCAAGTTCCCACAATATATATACATGATTTGCGCTCCTGTGGTTTTCACACCCCTCCCACATAGCGTCAGATTGCCCATCAGTACACCAGTCATCACATTTAACCCTTTGATTGTCAGGAACATGCTCATACACAATAAACCTCCATTGCTAGTATAGTGTCTGAACAGATCAATATCTTTGATCAGATCAGCACTATTCCAGCGTTCACATTAGTATAGCGTGCCCAAAAACGCAGTGTTAGCGGGATCAGCCCCAGCACTTGCCAGCACCTGCGTTTATCCCGTACGGTTACCCCCCCCCACCTTCTCCCCCAGCAAGTGCAGTGTCAGTAGGTCACTGTCACTTTATACGTTGCACACAAAACTGCAGTGTTTGCACAATCCGGCCTGAGCTCTGTTAGCACATGTCAGTAAATTTTGATGACTCTCATATGCAGCAGAGTGCCAGTACTAGTGCTGTGCTACCTTTTGGTGAACTGGCGACACCAGCGGTCTAGTACATCTTGATCTTTCACATATCTCTTAGATTGTAAGCTCCCAGGATCAGGGCCCTCCTAACCCTCTTGTATTGAACTGTATTGTTGCTGTATTGTCTCCCGTTATATTGTAAAGCGCTGAGCAAACTGTTGGCGCTATATAAATCCTGTATAATAATAATTCCAGCACTGCAGTATGACTTGGTGACGTGGCGAGTCCCATAAGTTCAGTACAAGTTGGTGCGGTGGTGAGCACAAGTATTGTCCTGCAGCCACCAAGAATTCCCACACAGGCCCATAAAGCTCCTAGTATCCTTCCGGATGTTCTTGCAAATCTCGATTGACAGCCCACAAATTCTGCAGCACCCGTACTTCCCCCATTCACTGCCCAACCCTGAATTCAGGTGGAAATAGCAAATGTAACTACTCCCCTTGATTTTTGGAGCTGTTTTTCACGGAATATCTGTATGCGTTGATTGTGGATCAAAGCAATTTACAGTATATGCACAACAATTTATCGCCGCCAACCCAAATTCAAACCTTGCCAGACCATTTGCATGGAAAGTCATTACGGTTTCTGAATTTACATTTTTTTTTGGGCCTAACCCTCAACATGAGCATTACTAAAAGAAATGAATTGCGGTTGTATTGGTCCGCAGACCCAATTCATCATATGCTGTGTTCTCTGCTGCCATGGCCAGGCATAGATATGAGAGTATAATGTGTTTTATGCATTTCAATGACAATACACTCTGTCATCCTCAGGGTAACCCTGAATTTGATTGGCTCCACAAAATTCAGCCCCTCGCAAATCACCTTAA